ACTCTTTCCTCCTCTGAAGTGAGTCCCATTGGGCTCAACAGTGTTTACTTCTGCCGTGACCTGGATAGCCCACACAAGCTCAATCTTGCCAGATCTCGGAAGCTAATCTAGACAACTGGCAAGTACTTGGATAGGAGACCTTCCTGGAATACCAGAGGTGGGAGGCAGGGGCAGGCTTTATTCAGCAACCTCTCTGAATATCCTCCATGTCCCCAGTAGGGGTCAGTCACCAGAGGTCACCATGACTTCCAGGTGCACACACACACCAACATTTTTTAAAAACCCAGTACTTACTTCCAGGTAACTGTGCAAAGGATTGCAGGCTTACAGTACCATCCTAAGAACTTATTCCTGGGAGTGATCCCCATTGAATACAGTAGGATTCTGAGTAGACCTGCTTAGGATTGCTCTCTTAGTCTCTCATTCATTTGGTGAATTTAAAGTTTGTGTCTCCAGGCTGAATTTTGGCAGCTCTACTAACCTTACATGCATTTCTACTGTAGGTTCTATCTATTTTGCTAGTGTTTTTGACCCACTCAATATCTCCACCAACATTCCTCTCAAGAAGCTTTGAAATGTCCTTTTTTTCTTTTTTCATTTAAACAAAAGTTTAAGGGGAATTTAAAACAAGAATTATTTACAGGGAAGGGATGTGTGATTTGTATGTTCCATTTTTTCAGAGAATAATATTTGAAACATATTTGTATGTTATAACTGTGAATTAATAGAATCCTACAGTCAAAATCTAGCATGATAGACCAAAGGTGAAATAATGAGAGTCTGTTTGTAAGTTGCATGTGAACTTAAAATTGCTGCAAATGTTTTGGCAAGAAAAGTTACTCTTCACTGAGCTGTGGAGGTGGCTATAGATCATCATCATAGCATTAGGTCCACTGATGTCCACACACAGTTGTCCCACAACACTAAAACAATTCCATTCCTATTGCAGCTCCTTGTAATGCAACAGAAATCACGCCTGGAGGTTCCCTGATTTTCTTAAATGACTTTATTTGGAAGAACATGACAGACAATTCCATGCACAGATGGAAGTGCCACATGAGCTGCACTGAATCCCAGTGAAGGAAGGAGTACATGGGAAAAGAATGTGTTGAGGGGGCCTGTGGCTCAGGATCTGAATAGACATCCCATGCCAGATGATATACATATTCACAATACACATGCACTAGTTTTCCAAGTCAGAATCTGTCATGAAGAGATATTAATAGCCTATTCACATTTTGTTGCCATAACAACCATTCTTTCTGTGTTGACAGTTGTTTTCAATGGAGGCACCCAAGAGCCAACCACACGTTAAAGCTTTTTAATCCCCTTTTATATCCCTCATACGTCCTAGGTGATATGGAGGTTAAACAAAGAAATATGGATATCTTCTATGCTGGGAAACATAGGTGGGCTACAAGTGTGCTGAGGGGCATGTGGCTTCTGACTGAGGAAGCAAAGAGAAGGAAAAGTCTTCCCATGAATTTGTAACAGGAATTATATCCCTCATTCCTCATAACAGAGTTTAGTGCTTGTACTATGAAGTCTTCTGCCTTCTGTTGAGACACTAGGGCTGGTGGATATATGCATGCATACATGCATGCATGCATACATACATATTCATTCATAACTTGAATAATTGCATCAATGTTATTTTTTTCTGAATTTCAGGCGAGGCTATGCACAGCAAGAGGTAAGTCAGTCCCTTAGTTCATTTTGGGCAGCAGGTTCCAATTTGTGAGACTTTTCTTTAGAATAGTGTTTGTAATATTGTCTAGTTCATTGGACAGATGGATAAAAGTTTTTGCTGAATATAAAATTAACCTGTGTTATTAATGAAAGCCGGAGATCAGGGCTAGATCCGATGGGGTCTCCTCTGGGCTTTCAATTTCAGCATTTGTGATTTAATTAATCTGCTTGCTTCCTGTTAAGGGAAGTATTTTTCTACTCAAAGCATCTCTCCTTATATATAATTGAATAGTGGGTGCCAAAGTTCTAAAATGCACTCCTTTAGTGTATGGACGCTTGAACTGTCAGTCAGAAGACGCTGGCTGGGTTGACTGGCTGCTTTGTGCAGTCCCGCCCAGTGTTTCAAGGTCTTTTGCATATGGAAGCTGATTGGACTTCACTCCATTCCACACCTCATACTCACCCCCCTCCCCGCAAGGCAGTTGGAATGTCAGTTGCATATGGAACCTTCAAGGTCTTTTGCATATGGAAGCTGATTGGACTTCACTGCATTCCACACCTCAAACTCACCCCCCTCCCCGCAAGGCAGTTGGAATGTCAGTTGCATATGGAACCTTCAAGGTCTTTTGCATATGGAAGCTGATTGGACTTCACTGCATTCCACACCTCAAACTCACCCCCCTCCCCGCAAGGCAGTTGGAATGTCAGTTGCATATGGAACCTTCAAGGTCTTTTGCATATGGAAGCTGATTGGACTTCACTGCATTCCACACCTCAAACTCACCCCCCTCCCCGCAAGGCAGTTGGAATGTCAGTTGCATATGGAACCTTCAAGGTCTTTTGCATATGGAAGCTGATTGGACTTCACTGCATTCCACACCTCAAACTCACCCCCCTCCCCGCAAGGCAGTTGGAATGTCAGTTGCATATGGATGATAGGGTTGCCAACTCCAGATGGGAAATTCCTGGAGATTTGAGGGATGGAGCCTGAAGAGGGTGAGGTTTGAGGAGGGGTGGGACCTCAGACAGGTACACTGCCATAGACTCCACCCTCCAAACCAGTCAGTCCCACATAGGGAAACATTGTTGCCAATCTCCAGGTGAGGGCTGGAGAGAACTCAGAATTACAACTGCTCTGCAGAAGGGAGGGCAGAAGTCAGCTGAAGTCAAAGGGGCAGATAATGGTAGGTTGATGGTTAGCTGGGAAGGAGATGGGGTTGCCAACTACATGCTGACAAATTCCTGGGGATTTGAGGGGTGGAGCCTGGAGAGGGTGGGGTTTGCAGAGGGGTGGGACCTCAGACAGGTAGAATGCCATAGACTCCACCCTCCAAACCAGCCATTTTGTCCTGGGTAACAATTGTTGCCAATCTCCAGGTGAGGGCTACAGATCACTCACAATTACAACTGCTCTTCAGGTAGCAGAGATCAGTTCCTCTGGAGAAAACAGTGGACTCTGTCATTATACCCTGCTGAGGTCACCACAGCAAATTGACACTGTTTGCCCAAAGCCAGAGCACTCCCCCAGAGCCTCTTTCTAGATCCCGTTGTATTGCTTAAACAACGGGCTTTACTGCTAGTGGATTATATATTTGTCAATTATTATACTTTCTGGATACACTGTATTTCCAAAAATAATGATCACATAAATGTAATCTAGGCTGAGCATTTGATGAGAGAAACTTTTTGGTGCCCACAAGAGCCATCACAGTGGGATACAGTTTCCCACACACATCCCTTTTCCATCTGGAAGAGATCTCATTGAATGTTATATCAGTTGGTGACTGTTTTCCTTTCTTGTTTGATGGCCAGCCACATGGAGCACTGAGCAGATGTGCTCAGATTGCCATAAGAGAGATGTTGTACTTGGGACAGATCCTAAATACAAAATGCACAGGTCAGAGCAACAGTTAATGGCACACTAGTATATAAAATGACTCCTCCATGAAATTACTTAGCAATATTCTAATCCTCCCCCAATCAGCACTGACATATATTTTGAAAGAGAAAGCTGTAGTCTGTATACATGACACCTTTTAAATGTTACATAGTACCTGAGTGGTTTGTAGCTGAGAATTTTTTCAGAATGAATTCAAAAGGTCTCGTAAGAAGCTGTCCTGACTAACAACGGGAAGCAACCATCTTCTGATAGCCTGTAGTAGGAAGTTTGGTCCCCACAGACAAGGAACCCCAGCACAGCACAGACCACAGGACAGGAAACAGGGACACTTACATTTTAGTGGCTTTGGCCTTTGTTTTAAGAGAAGCCAGAGGTTTGGATCCCACACAAAATCTCCATTGCCGGGAATAATCTCTGTCAGCAGGCTGGGATTTCTCTGGATCCCCCCCCCTCCCACCTGTTGCAGCTCAAAATTCCCCTCCCCCCACATGCTGCTCTTCGGGGACTTGGGGACCCTGGAAACAGCATGAGAGGAGAGTTGGAGCAGGGAGTTGACAAAAATCGCACTCCTTTCCATCAGCAGAAATTTTCCACCAAATCACAGCTTCAGTACAACCAGGTGAGCTCTGAAGAAGTACATTTCAGACATTCTAGTCCTCAGCAGAAGTACTGTTATCTCAAAGTAAATTACTTGCATTTTCTGTTAAATCTTTCTCATAACCTTCTTTCTGTTTCCGATTTTCTTTATCAGCAACAGCAACTGTTAAGGCCTGCTCTTCTCCGACCAGAGGTACAATTGTTTCTTCTTCTTTACTATTCTAGAACTTTCATAGTAGTCACATGGAATACATTGTGATAGCCATTTTGGCTTTTAGCACCTATCTGTGTTCATCGGTGATAGAAATCAGAAGCATATTTCATTCATTTTTTTAAAAAAAAATTGGCAATATTGTAGACGTCACGCACTTCAGCATACTGATTCAATTGTGTGATTGTTACAGTTGATATAATTCTACCAAATTTTAACCTAGCTCCTATGCTGTCATTGAAACTGTCCAAAGTCTGTTGTAGTCCAAAATAATTTAATTAGCTGCAGTGTTACAACCCATACTCAAGGATCGGAATGATAATTACTAACATTCTTTCCGGTCTAATAATCCATTAAGGAAGGATGGACAATATCCTTGGTCACTGTAAAGTTAGTTGAAACTTGGTACTGTTTCACCTATGGGAAAGCAAGATGTGATTTAGACATCCAGATGTACAATCATATCTTCAGCTGGTAAAGAACAAAACTGTTCATAGGAGCTTGTAGGTTGAGCACCACACAAATGATTACTTATATGAACTGGCTGAATTGCACATTCACCCAATATGGTTTAACCTCCCCCCCCCATCATGCCCTTAATTAATTTTAGCCCTTAAGCTGAATGTACCCCCCACCCCTGGCTTAGTGCTGGATTCAGCTAGTATTTGACTAATATATTATTGCTAGCGTGCCTATATAATACTTAATTGAGCATCAGTACTTATGGGAATTTATGCTGGCAATGTTTGGAAACTGTGGACATTAAAAGATTCTGAGTAATGCAATGAGAAATACAGATATTGTTTGTAAATGTAAACAATAGGTGCTCTTTAGAAAACAGGCAAAGCATATGTTTAAAAGTATATGCTACTCCCTCGTCACGGGCAAAACAAACAAGCAAGCCCCAATTCCCTCCCATGTAGCTGCAGTGATTTCTCTCTTTTTGCAAGCAAACCCCCGCCCCCATTCCCAAGCCAGCAAGTCGGGTGAAGTTTACTTACTTGTTTTCTTTTGCGTGGGGGGTGGGGAGGAAGGGATGCCATACTCCAGGTGGGACCTGGGGATCCCTCCCCCTGGATTACTGTTTAAGAATCCCCATTCCCCATTCCCAACAGTACCTGTCTACTATCAGCATTGGGGGGGGGGGGTTATACTAGTCTCCAGGGGATCCCAAGTCTGGAATTACAGTTTTAAAATCCCAACAATGTTTTTGTCTTCTTTTGTATCAAGAGAGGGTGGGGGGAGAGGAATGCCAGGCTCCAGGTGGGACCTGGGGATCCCCTCCCCTGAATTACTGTTTAAGAATCCCATCCCCAGCAATAAACCTGAAACGTTTTTGAGTGATAAGTGCCTTGCCTTTATTATTTATTTATTATTTTAACACAAAATGAAAAATCCTGGCTACAGGCCTGCCTAAGTCTCCCTCTTTTTGGAGTGGGAAGGGTCATGCAACTAGTGCAAATCACACATATGTCTCATATTTGCTGTCCCTGGCCCCAACTCACACGAAGTATCATTCATGTGTGTCAGATAGGTACACACTCAAAAGATATTTCCACAAGCCCACATCTTTTACCTCCCTAACATTCCAGTTGGATTTCTTTTTACTGTGACTTACAGGAGCTCTCTATGGAGTCTGGTATAGATCCTGGCCAAGAGTACTATGGACAAGATTACTACAGTTATGAACATGGGTATTATTTTTTCTGTATTTCCTACACACATCTGAGATTTGGGCATCTGTATTGCTATAACTTAGTGTAAATATATGTAATGTGATGATACACAAATTATTGCTAAGAGTTTGGGTATGACGGGTGGAATTTTTGGTTTGATTTCTTTAAATAGCAAATCTCCATGACACACTGAATTTTTAAAAAGTTTGCTTGTGGTATTGGGGGGGGGTACTTTTCAAGAAATAGTCCAAAGTCCACTGTGCAGTTCTCATGAAACAAGCTGTTGGATATTGTTGTGAACACCAGAGTGTTGTCACCTCAAGAGACAATGAAACTTCAAGAAAGATAAAAGTCAACTTTTAGATTTAACCTAACATATTACATTTGTATTCTCTTCTCTTTCAATCTACCAGTTGTTCTGTATTCAAAGAATTCTGTACATGTAACAAGCACAGAATATAAAAAAAAGTTAACAGTTTGGTGTAGAGGCAAGGGGCGCGGACTCTAATTTGGGAGAACCAGGTTTGATTTACCACTACCCCACATGCACCTGCTGGTGTGACCTTGGGTCAGTCACAAGTTCTCTCAGAGCTGTTCTCTCAAAAGCAGTCCTCGAAAGAGCTCTCTGAGCCCCACCTACCTCACAGGGTGTCTGTTGTGGGGAGGGGAAGGGAAAGGAGTTTGTAAGCCACTCTGAGACTCTAAGTGAAAGGTGTGGTATAAATCCAAACTTTTCTTCTGTCCCTCTCTTCTTAGCAGAACATCAATCTGTAATTTACAAGAACACAGGAATTTATAATGTGCTCTGAGATACCAATAGATGGAAAAGTATATTATGTTGATTTATTGTCATGTGAGAACTTATGAAGTCCTGTCCTGAATACTTACTTCTTTATATCTAAAAAACATTACTCTTATAAACAGCTTGTCAAAACATGTGTGTAAAGTCAAAGTCCAGGTGTTAAGGGTTTGAATTACCAAAACTTGTGCCATGATACTCAAAATGTGGGTTGAAATTTAATGGAACTTCTGTAAAAGGAACAGACTGTTTAGGATATTTATCTGGACCCCTCTTTAGTACTTGTATGTTTGTCTCAAGAGGGCAAACAAAATTTCCATGGGTCCATTTCAGGCTAACAAAACAGCCAAGGAGGACAGCTTTAGCCCCACCCCCTTCATGTATCTGTCCCAATCTGAATCATGAATGACAGTAATTTATAAGGCAAGAAAAAAAAAATGCTTGAAAGCTCATACACAGGGCTCCCAGCATCTCATTAGGTTTAGCTGTTGGAAGAGAAATGTGCTGTTGTAAGAAGATAGAAAGAAAACCCGGATGCCTTGTTGCACCAAGAATTTGTGTGAAATTAAACTGTTGAAGGAAAAATACATGTGGCAAAGGAGGCATATAATTTGTAGAATAAGGACACCATCATAATAAAGAGGTCTGTGTGAGAGGAATGTTGCTGTGTGCCTGTAAACACCCTGAATCTACATGCATACAAACATAGAGAATGTCTGTACCTGGCTTTTTTCCCAGGTACGAATTGCCTCAATACGGAAGTCGTCGACGATTGTTGTCTCCTTCTGGGATGTATGACGAATATGGTGAAGTTGTCGTGGAGGGCGATGGTGGCTTCTATTACAGTCCACAGGGACCAGAAGCTGAGGTAAATTTATTTTTCTTTCTGCCAATTCTTTCACATTTTGCCAAATGAAAAGCACCCTCCTCCTCTCAATTAAGCGACAGTAAAAGTGTTTTTTAAATGAGGGAGACAACATGCCCTGTATGTAAAAGCAACATTAAACCATAATGCTGTCTTAAAGAGGGTATATGTTTTGGATTATTTGGCCCTTGAAGTATTGCCAAGGAGTCTATGGAGAAATGAGAATCTAGGACACAGGTCTCATAATTTCATAGCATATCAGGTAGATGGTATAGAACTGGTGGCCAGATACGGATGACGTTGATGGGTTGCATACCCCAGCAGTAATGTATGCACAGCTGTCATATGGGTACATCTCATATCAGTAGCACATTTGCATAAGGTGGTGTTGCTATGATAAACACACTCCTGGCAATTCATATGACTTCATACATCACATTTACATGTGAACAGCAACCTCAGGGAAGCAGATTTTGCGTAACATCTCCTCTTACAGAAAGAATGGTAAGGTTTTTCCTCCTATTCATTTTCAGTTTTGTACTACACTCTAGTGGCCAGAGAGATAATTTAGAAGCTGCTTTGATGTACTGAAGGACAGTTTATCATTATAACTAGTCCATATCTTAAAAGCAGCCTCTCCTAGGATATAAACCATCACGATGACCTGATATACATATTATGCTGAAGACCCAGATTAGAGGGTCATAAAGATGTTTCCTGCCTCCAAGCATTATGGTGATGGCTCTTTTTTTTTGGGGGGGGGGAATGCAGCTGTGCTGTACATAGATCACAGGTTGCATTTTGTAACAAGACTAGTTGATAAGTGAAGTAGCACTTGCCCTAATAGCTGCATGATGGAGTGAGGCTGATAAGTGAACATGTAATACATTCAGAGGTACATGCAGATAGCTCTTTTTTGCCACTTCCAGCTTTGTGGAAAAGGTGATATCAAGAAGCTTTTTGAATGATTCCAGATAAATCCTGTGTACAAATGCTAACTCTTCTTTTCTTCCTGCCTCGAGTATTCCAGGATGCCATGATTTCATTCCCAAAATTATACTGAAGTTCCGTTTTTATAATTTACAGAGAAGGAGACCAGGTCCTCTTGTTGCAGGCAGAGGTCTAAGCCACAGACCAGTGCCTCGCGTAGCTGTTAGTGCTGTAGGTGAAAGGAAGGCTGTAACAGAAGGGGCCCCCCAGGGCAGAAGGAAACTAAAAGCAGTGATGCAGCTCAGCCGAGTAGCGGTTAGCACCCACAAACCTGTAGCAGCGGTTGAGGTTGCACCTTCTCCCTGGAAGAAAGCAAAGATCTTCCCCATGCTACACAAAGTAAGAGGCAAAGATGCAGATTACGACAAGCTGATGGCAGCACGCCAAGCAGATGGAGAAGACAGCATGGTTATTAAAGGAAGCTATTTTCAGAAATCAGCAGAGGACAAACCATTGCCCAAGAAGCCTGGCCGTGCTCTGAAGCGCCCTAGCGTTTCCAAGGAACCACGGGACCGTACGTCAAAGGAACTGAGCGAATCAGAATCCAAGTCAGGGATTTCTATTAGCGTCACTGCAGAAAGTGAATCTGAAGAGAGTGACTATGGAAAGAAAAGGAAAAGGAGAAGAAAAACATCTTCCTCCAGCGAAGAGTCATCATCATCTGCAAGCAGTGAGTCCCAGTCAGATAAGGACTATTTGAAAGTGACGTTGGACCAAGATGAAACCAATGAGAGTACTGTGGATTCTGATGAAGAAGGTGAAGATTCAGAGTCATCAGGATCCTCTTCAGGGAGTGAATCCGAGGAAACATCTGATCGCTCTGAAGAGTCTGGCTCACAGAGCAAAGTGTCCGATACCGAGGAAGAGTCCAAGTCAAAGATATCATCAGTGCTAAGTTCCAAGAGCAGTGAAGTTAGCTCTGTGCCACCAGTTCAAGACAAGAGCTCCGAGGCCAGTTCCAAGAAGCCTTCATCCACAGCAGGAAGTGAGTTAGATGACGCAGTACAAGAAGTAGCAGAAGAAGAGGAAGAATCGTCATCAGTTATGGATGAAGAGGAGACAGATGAAACTGAAACATCCTCCACCATTGGCAAAAGTAGATCAGATCGTGGTACTACTACTACTACTACAGCATCAGAATCTGAAATTCCTACTGACTCCACATCTTTTTAGAAAATGAAACAAAACAAAACAAAAACAACAGTAGGTAGGCTGTTTGCAGTAAGGTGTGCTCTGGTTTGCTGTGTTCTCTGTGTGCCTTTTTGAGACATGAGAGGACATTATGCCAGTCTGGGCACCAACAAATTAGTGAATGCAGCTGGAGACTATTCAGTACTTCTGTCTACTTTTTTTAAACCTTTTGGCAGGGAAGAATGATTGACTCGTATCTGAATGGCTTGACAAACTTCAGGCATTTGTATAAATGCAGATATGTTAGAACTAGGAAGGAATGCTGTGTTCAGGTATCAAGCTCTTTTGTATAGCCAGATTCCTAAATTTTAAGAACTTTCCTACAAAGCTTTTTACAGGGCTGATTCACACTATATAATCGCATATGATTTCTTGAATATTGGGTACTTGTGGATTTATAGCAGATATGAATGGACTCCAGTGGGAAAAGACTTCATTTGAAGGGGTGTGAGTTGATGTGGGCCTTCTACCAGTGAGGTTTGATATGTGATGGCATGCTCACCCATGCACACTGATATGACCCAGCCATCAGGAAGTACACATGAATGCTGAGTTTTAAAACCAGAAAGTGTCTATTTCTATACTGCATGGTTTGCGTTTTTTAAAGACATCTGTCCATCTGTACCTTAGAAAGCAACGCTCATACAACTTTGCACTGTAGAACTATTTGCATAACACAATTATGTCTTAATGGCACTTCCAAAGCTGTCAAGTGTTTCACATGGAATCTAATTTTTAACCTTATTGTCAATTTTCCTTTGAATTTGCATGCATAGTGTTCAAATTTAAAAACTCGCCTTATATAGATATAAGTAATTATATGGAATACCTTCCTATAGTCTTCAGATATTTATTCCAAACTTTAGGTTTGTAGAATTCTATTAATCTAATTGGTGAAGTACTTGTACATGTTGGAGTTTCATGGTGTGAGATATTCTGAACATACAATCCTAGGTTTATCTTTTTATACCTCACCACCACTATTGAAATCTCAGCATTTTCTGCAGAAATAAAGATCATTGAGCTCCAAAATGCCACAGCTTTTGTTATAATGTGCACTGTGAAGCAGAAATGCCAAGGGCTCTTCATGAGCTGACATTACAGCACAGTACTTGAAATAATTAATTCTAGATGGAAGTGATAATAGTTTTGCAAATATTTATTCTATTAGCATACATACATCCCCAGATGTTGCTGTCTAAGGGCCAATACTTGTGCCTGTGCTTACTGTGTGATACCTTTGATACTCTGGTTGTGTCTCATGCATCATTGATACAGCTTTGTTGTTTAAGTTCTGTGTCTGATAACAGGGGTAAGTATATCGTGTAAGATACTATTTGAATGGATTTCTGAAAGAACTGAGTCACAAATTGTAAGAGGGGAGCTCAGGAAAAATCATTACCTCATACAGTCAGCTTTGAATTAGTGTCTGCTCTTTCACAACTTTATGGGACCCAGTTCTCCACCTCTAGTCCCTCCAGTTCTGTAGAGATTCCCTGCCAGCCTCATCCTGCCACCTCCTAGTGAGATGCCTTCATGTGGTTACCTTTTCCCATCTGTTTCATTTTCTTCCCTTACTGAAATTCACCAATATTATGGGAACGCGGACTAATATAAAATTGAAACTAAGCACAAATATTTGAATATAAAACCATTTTCAGTGTGTTATGCAAATAATGTCACAGCATGGAGATTCTAAAGGAATACAGTTCATTAAATTATAGAGTTGGAAGGGGCCATACAGACCATCTAGTCCAACCCCCTGCCCAATGCTGGACCAGCCTAAAGCATCTCTGACAAATATTCATCCAGCCTCTTCTTGAAAGCTGCCAGTGAAGGGGAGCTCACCACCTCCCTAGGCAGCTGATTCCACCTTTGAACCACTGTGACCATGAAAAGGTTTTTCCTAATATCCAGCCGATACCTTTCTGCATGTAATTTAAACTCGTTGCTTCAGATCAGTTCAGAGGGGGGTCATAACCACATTCTCTAAAAACCATGTCCTGGTTACCAGCTTGCTCCCTTGTGCTCAAGAATAAGGAATCCACATGGCAAGAGGGGAGGGATATTTACAGAGAATTAAGGTGGTTCTCTGAGTACTCAAGCTATCTGATTCATAAATGAACAATGAGGCTAAATTGATTATTTAACATGTGGGCTACCAAAATAACATAATATTGTTGTCCAGCAGCATAAAAGGAACTAGAAATACTGTATTTAAAAAATGCACTGTGAAGTACCTAAATAATTTTTTTCTCTTTTGTTGTCTCACAGTGGGCCAGAAAGAAAAGAATCAAGTTAGTAGTTGATCCAGAGTATGAGACCAGCTCCACTGGGGAGGACAGCGCTCCAGAAAGTCAGAAGAACCGTCTTAGCAACCCCAACATTCAAACCAACATCAATGGCAATATCTACATAGCCCAAAATGGATCAGTTATCAGAACCCGGCGAAGTTGCCTCTCAAACAGTTTAAAGGTCACATCCCCCGCAAGGCTGGGGAAACATTTCAAGAAACTGGATAAGCTAGCAGTGACACATGAAGAGAACGTCCCATTGAACACATTTTCAACAGGGGCGTCAACTACTGACAAACTAAACACGAGACCCTGTAGTGTTTCCTTTGCATCCTCTGCTATAGACCCTGACAACGTAGCAACAAAGTCAGGGGGCAGCCGATTGAAAAGCACAGAAGAGCAAGAATCCGTTGTTGATAACGAGGATATCAAGGAGCCTTTGGAATTACCCAGCGATCACACACAGTCCGATGACGAGGAACTCTGGATGGGTCCTTGGAATAACCTTCACATACCAATGACAAAACTGTGACCTCACTTTTCCATTTTAATTTTTACTTCCATTTATAATAAAGTACGCTTTTTATCGTCACCGAGGAAAACCGTATGAACTTTGTACCGTGCACATAAGTTAATATACTTTGAACGAAATGCTTTAAAAGTAAAACAAAACAAAACAAAAAAATAACCCAGAGAATTTGCACTCACATTTGTACCAATTAACTGTTCTTCCCAACAACTCTTTTTGACAGATTCAGAATTCACTAAACAAGCATTCATTAAAATGGACTAGTTTTGTTGGCTCTGGAGTTATTGTTTAATAATCATCAAACCACTACTTAAAATGCAAATGAATTGCTTTTTCAGTGTTTGCCGCAGAAAAGGCAGCATTGAATTCATTGGTTTGTTAATTTGTAAAGCACTGAATCTTTAGCCGGAGCTATTTCAACCTATAGTTATCCTTGGCGATAATACCTATACAACTTGATGTTTCTGATTTAAGTTCTTTTCAGGCTCTGATCCAGCCTGCCACCCACGGTTGAGAAATCCGGTGGCTACTCTTGCACAAACCCAACCTATGTTGGGTGGCCCCAAGGCTAGTTTTGGCCTTGTGAATGTTTAACCTTCACTAGAAGACTATACATTATGGTGGGGAGTTACCAACTGCCTTGGAAATCAAGTTTTTAAACTGTGCCTTAGAAATGAGAATTTGTCAAATTTCAAATCTTGTAGGCATTGGCTCTTGCTATGCCTTCATCTCTAATCTTAAAAGAGCCATCTGTTTCATTATTAATACTCCCTCCAACCAAGTGGCTTAATCAAACATTGTGTTTGAAACATTCATATTAACTTATTAAGATCCTTTACTGGGCTTAGATAAATGTTTATAGCTCATCTTTGTATTCCCTCCAATTTGTAACCACTTGTAAACACTTTGTTGCTGCTAATCATTCTCTTATTAAGGTTCACACCTGAAACTCCTAAAATGACCACTGAGAGTTTCTAGTGCATCTGTCATGATCCATTTGACAGGATGAGTGATATTCTTCATGATACTTCTGGCTCATAACAATGCCTTGTATTTACTGCACTTCTAAAAAAGGGGTGATTGGTACAATTGCCAACTAGCCAGTATTTTATGAGTCTTAACTAATAAAGCTGGTTGTCTACTAAATAACCAGAGTTGGGGGTCTGTAAAGCTAGTAAATTCTAGATCCTTCCAGATTCCACTTACAATACACCATAATCCTCCCTCACATGAAAGATTCCTTTAGGTTCTGCCTCAGTGCCTTAGCCCCAGCCAAGGAACCAGTATTTCTTTTAAGTGAACATCCTCAACGTGGCTTGAATTGTGAACTAGTTATGTGCTTGAGAAGACATGTGAGGGTAGTAATTCATGCCAGCTATGCACAGACTAATTCAGTTCACACTTCCAGCATGGCAGCCCTGGTTGAGACTTGTGATGTGATGCTTCCTTAAGGTTCAATTGCTTTATCCTTCACACATGGACTACCTTCTTTGTTCCCAGAACTGGTATAGCCTTCCTATTGGCTCTGTGGGAGTACTACAATATGGAACTGAGCCCAGATTATCAAATGGCACAAACTGCACTTCTTACCATTTAACTACTTCAAACTCTATACATTTACAACATAATGTGCTGCACAATATGCCTGGTGTACATTTTTTTAGAGTTCTCCCATTTTAAGGGCTGTTTAGTATACAAAGGGAACAAGTCAGATCTCACAGCAATATAAATTAGAAATCTCTCCCAAGGACAAGATGCTCAGCTGGGGTAAATCAGCATGATTTTACAGAAGCCAATGGAGCTTTGCAAATTTACAGCTGCTGGGGAGCTTCCATAATGGAATTTTTAAAGCTATAAAACTGGTCTAAGTGAAACATGAATCAGGCCCCTGGTATCAGCAATATACTCATTATATAATGCAATAACCTCTATGTAGATGCATAGAATGGAAGATTAAAGAGGATGCAAAATCATTTATATCAGGGATGTTTGTAATAATTAATCTTGCTTTTTATTTCTGTCATCTTCTCTGCTAAAGCCCTTTTCCCTTTGCACATCAGTTTTGTTTGTTTCTTTATATAATAGCCTTGTCAACTGCTTTTTATGATTAATCAATTTTTTTAACCTTATGGCAACAGCCGCCAGTATTAAAAATGGGA